TAAACAACTGAAACTTTCCAATACTTAATGTATAAACATTTGTTGTTAGAGAATACGAAGCAAACATTATTTACGCTACGTTTAATTCTGTATTCAATTAATTTATACGTAGTTTAGCTGTTTGCTCCGTACTTCGCTATCAGCTTCATTTGTTAATAGAAAAAAGAAACATGGTTTAAGCGAATATAAACTTTTGTTTTTGTTTATAATAAAGGTTAAATATAAAACTATGTTTATGTTTTAACATATCATGAATTTGAGTTACATTACGAAATCAACCAAGCTGTTTATTTTTTATACTCGCTCGGGAATGCCTCAAAATTCGAAAATGTGGTATAGAGGAACTGAAATCCAGCTGATATTCCGATGACACGTACTAGTGCATTGAACGATATTTCGCGGTAACGTTCGTTAATATCAACCAACACGAATGTTCTGATATATTCCGCATGCGAACTTCTAAGATTTCGATCGATTACGTCATCTATGCGAATGCTATAAATTAAGCTCTTAAATTTATTAAATGCAATTGGCTTCGAAATAAGTGTTATCAATTAATAGTTATCTTTTATTCAGTTTAAAATAATGTATCGCTAATTAATGTAATTGTCTGCAAAAGAAAAATATAATGGTACGGTTCAATAGGTGTTCAATATTTTATATTATTATTTCTGTTAATTGTTAATATACATAAGCATAAACGTATTTATATTATCATACTTATCTGCAACAATTTTATTTGCTTGTAGATGAAATTAATCTTTAGAAATCGGAAAGAAGGGGATTTATTTTTAAACTTTTAACTTTTCTTTGAATAAAATTTATTATAATTTATTGTACTTTGTCCTTTCCTTAAAACGACACTATTCCAGTGTCCAGCCACTATGACTTTTCATTCTATAAAGAATCAATTAAAAAAGCTATAAAAACGTAATAATTGAAGATAAATTAATTATATTTAATTAATTAAATTACTTGTATTTCACAAATTAAGAATTATATCCTTCAATGTATTTGCGAGTAGAAATGAAAAATAAAATCCAGCTTGGCATCTAGCACAAGGGATGCCTTTAGAATGAACAGGGAAAATGCGCGTAGTTGATTCGAAGATCCTCAAAGGACGAAGCCTGCTACGATCGCGCGTGCTCCACCCGAGAGATTCCACCGATCTCTGACAGAAAGATTTAACACCGTATCACCTCGGAGCGTATCCATTCACTGCGTTCAGTGCATACCTATGAGGGCAACCCGTTTGTTCGCGTTCCTTCTCGCAACGAATTCTTCCCGCTTTTGCACGCGCAAGCGAGCACAGAGTGACGGAGGCGGATCGCGTCCTCATCCTTCGTATGTCACTAGATCAGGTGTCCCTTAAACGCGAGTACTTTCATCTCTCGTTGCCACACCCTCGCTTTTTCGTGACGACAAGTGCATCGACCGGAAGGCTGAGCCCTCATATTCGTAGATAAACAAGGAATACGCAGGGATTACGTGATTTTATTTGATGCCGTGGAGAATTTACCTAAAATTCAACAGACTTTCACGATTTAAAATTTTGTCTGACGTTCATGTTTTATCTTATATCTTTTTATTATATATAGTAAAAATGAAATTTATTGTAGTGTTTATACTCACAATATTATACAAAAAAGACGATTTTTCTTGAAATACCCAAAAAAATTTAGCTAGATATAGGTCTAAAAATAATTTTGTTGAACCAAATAATTATGTAGGACACTTAAAACTACTAAATGTCAAAACTTTGCAACTTTTTGCAGCATTGCTTATCAAGCTTGAGATTTCTACTTGATTATTTTGACCCAACAAAATTATTTTCAGATCTGCATCTATCTAATAAATTTTTAGATACTTCATAATCTTTTTTGTATAAAAATTAGAAAAGTGTTATAAATAATGGTCTACTTGACATTTTTTCTAAGGAAGAGTCTTTGAACTATTCAAAGAAGTTACGATTGTAAAAGATATCGGACTTTTTCAAAACATACTTTGCAAATTAAAGTTAAATTAGAAACTTTTGTGTAAAGACCTATATCTTTGGCTAAGAAAAAAATAAAATGGCAAATTCTTTTTGAAACGAAACTTTCCTGCGCTTTTTCTGCTAGGATACGCGACGCGAACGAAGAGATTCGGGGTCGTATATACCCTGCTATAAATCAAGATTTCAATTCGTCGCCTGCCGGATCGAACTTATGTGCATCGATAGCGCCTCGCTTCTCTTGTCACGCTTGGCTTTCACGACGTGGAGACTTTGGGAATTTACTATCGAAGTATGCCATCTACGATACGTTTGTTGTCACGATCGATTCCTGCTAGAGGAAGAAACAGAGAATGCTCTAGTAATAATGTCCGTTGAATGCAAGAAAATTTGCGTGGAAAGATTAAATGCGTACGATTGCATGCAAAGGGATAAAAAGCATGCAAAGCTATAATAAAATGAATTGTTTGAAAAGTTCAAGAAAAAATAAAGAATCTTTCTGAGAAATTATATGATAAGTAACACGCAAATTGTGCATATTAAAAACGTATTTTTCATAATAATATGTTATTCTTTCGGATCGTGATTTCATTTTATTAAACGTTTAAAAAATCTTTACTTTTTAAATTACAATGCTGCGTAAGGTTAATCTATAGAGAGACAAACGCCGTTTATAACGTTCCAAATCAGAGCTTCAAGAAATGAATATGATTCGTTAGTCTCCGACGTTCGTGAAATATCCGGGAAGAGATCACCGAGAATTACACGGCGGAATAGAAGGATCTACGATCCTTCGTTTGCGGAATGTTTGAAGTACCCGATCTAAAGCCGCAGCATTAAATCATTCTCATGAATGAGAAAGATTTGCAACGCATTCGAGCGGTTTTCCGAGGAAACGTTTAATTCGTTACGTATGATTCAGTTGAACAAACATTAGCTTATCAGAAAGAGAATCCGGAGGATTGCCGGAGCTTTTCTTTGATATGTTGCAAAGTAGTCCTTAAATTCACGACGTTCAGTAAAAATCCCATTGGAATCTCGATGATCGCATAATGCCAATTTTATGTAAAACAAAAGTCACATTTATTGTATACATTTGATATTAAAAAAATAATGCTATTCGATAGATGATTTATTTTTTAATTAATATTGTAGTATTATGATTGTTCGTAATTAAAATATTGTATAAATTAGAAATACCTTTGTATGATTAAACCTTTGTACTAAAAGTAAAATTCATACTTTGAGATATTTTATATTTTATTTCGACATATTCTGACATAAATTATAAACTGCCTCATAAAATATTGACTTTTCGTTATTCGTAAAGCCCAACTCTGTAACTCGTGTAGATATAGAGCGTTCAAGGGACAAAGCTTATCGAGCTCGTAATCCCTTTGTTTCTCTATTTTTATACTCGACAGTGTACTCAGCATAGGAAATCTCATCGAATATTACTCGCTGAGCCTGAAGGCGATCTAAATCGAAAGCCAATTAGGCAGATAACTGATCAAAGGCAAACAATGAGCGTATCGACTATTGCTTGCCGAGATATTAACATAATACTGAATCAAGAGCCATTCGTATATAGAACTGACCATAAGCCTTTAGAAGCTGTTTGCTTTGCCATAACAATACAATCCTTAAATTGATTATAATGTACGCATTAAATTCGATGCTATAATGATTGTGTGAAATTTTATTCAAAACAAAAATTACAATTTACACATATTTTCAAGTGATATATGTTATGACATATTGTACTTGTCATCTATTTCGATAACTGCTTTTTATAATCTATTATTTTAACTTTTGTACAAATATTTACAATCGACATTATGATGCAAAAGTACAACAATGAATAGAATATACTTACATTAAATATATAGAAATTCATATGAATTATATTTTTATTTATTAAATATATGCAAGAAGTACAAATTCAACAAAAATAAAATTCAATAAAAATAAAATAATTAACTGTATATTACAAAAACTTTATAAAGTTTATAACCATAATGTATTGGTTTAACATGTACAATCGTCAAACGACAAAGAAAAAGTCTACAACGATTGTTTGACAAATTCATATGTGACTACGATGTATAATCGCCACAAGAAGAAATACGTATGTGTGCATTTTTCGTGATCATTTCGTAGCGTGCAAAAGCAAGAGCTCGTCACCGGCTTTCTCGTACTGGCCATTGCCATTCTGTCAGTCGTTTAATCGCCTCATGATCAAAGAGACTTCTTAATAAGACCCACACAACCGCACGTTCGCTAACTGCTCGCGTTTAGAAAGCAAATACCCTTTGTCGTACACACACGTTCGAAACATTATCAATAGCGGGAAATTTTACAGATGAAATCTTGGAGTTCTGTATCGCTCATTTAAAAATGATCAAACAATTTTATCTCTATCATAAATCTAGAAGAAGGGTGAACGAAAATAAGGTAAAATGAAAACGAAATGGAATATTTTTCGAGCTATTTATGTTTAATAAAAACTATTTATTTTTTTAAATAAGCGGAAAAGAGAGAATTTTGGAGCTTTGCTCGGACAATGATCTTACAGACCGATATTATCATTTAAAAGATGGTAAGATGATTAAGTTCCTAATGAACTTTTGCAAAAAAAAATTTAAGTTCCGAACTTGACTCGTACCGTCAAGCAAAGCTTTTATGCACCAAATTGCGAGCCTTCTTTTGCGAAGAAATAAAAATCGCTGAAGTTTCTACAAATACGTAAAATACGTTTGCGTTTTTCTCGAGCGACGCGCCGCGTAACCATTCTTGCATCAAAAAAGTTCTTATGATAATCCAGACGAAAAGTTTCGCTCGACGTCGAATAGCTTGCGAGCTTTCGCGGCGATCAAGCTTCGAAAGCTTTCGCACATCAGACAACTTTTGGATTTCAATTGTCAGCGCCGCGCCGCTCGGAACGCATAAAATGTGTACTCTATACTGTGTACTCTATACTGATTGCACTTTATGCTTTATGTTTCAGATCTCTTCAATAACCAGCTTTTGCAGGGTGAGTGTATGATTTTTATTATACCACATATTGTACGTATGTACATGGCGCTTTGATGCATCCGATCAATTGCATTGAAAGTGGTGCAAATATTATCGCAAAAAATAGCGCGTAAAAGAATATTACGATCGTTCCGGTTGAATTTACATTATTTAGTTGATTAATCACGATTCTTTTCTGTACTTTTTTTTTTATAAAAGGCTTTGTGTTACACTCAATAATTGATATTACTTTTATATTTTATCAAACGACAAATTTATTTTATTTTAATTCGATTCAATGATTATAATTCCTATATTTTATCTGCAATATAACATACATCGATACTATATAAATATAATTATAAAAAAGATTATTTTGAAAAATATTACAAGATTAAATTTGAAAAAATATTATATTTGTAGGAAATCTGTTTAATGATGAATATTTAGAATATTTTTTTATCTTAAATTGATTAAATATTAGATCTGATTATTTCTTTTTTGCTACTGAGTATCTTTATTCTTATCAAATGTCTTGAACGGAGAGCGTGAAGTTGCCTGCATCCTAGAGAAATGTCGAGGCATTTTTAACAAGAGCTCAGTCATCCATCCATTTAGGTCCTCCGGCCACGTCCTTTTATTGCTCTACTCATGTCCTACCGAGACACGCGGGTGATCTCGAGATCTCCATTCAAGTCTCGTCCTTTCGCCTACGTGAGCGTCGTTGTCTCGCACGCTGTGCTTCCGGGCGGAAAGAATCTCGTGTGAATTTTTTATTGAAAGTATTTTCACAGGAGTGGCATACAGAAATAAGTTGACAAATGTTCTCACATTATTTATCCTAGCTCAATGCCACTGAACTATAAAATACGCGGAGGACTTTTAGTTTATAAATGATGTTATACCGTGAGAAGAAACTCCTACATTTTGTTCTGACTGAAGAATTAATAAATGATAGATTTTTAATGAAACTGCAAAACATATCACAATATTATTAATTGTAACTATAATGCTTTGTATTTCTTGAAATTGAGATAATCAAGTTATTAAGAGAGAAAGAAATAATTCGATAAAAGAAAAGAAGAGAACAAAAACATTTGAAAATAATAGAAACATCTTAACGTAAATTTTTACTTTTATTTTATAATTAATGTATAAATACAATATAATTGTGAAGAGAGATAGAGCGGAGAAAAGAGAAAAAGAAAGAGAAGAATAGAAATATGTATATACACACACACACACACACACACACACACAAAAGACTTTTTTTTACAACTTTAATACATTAATTTGATTTAGGAAGTTACATATTTTACACTGTAAAATTAGATGATTAAAAGTAATTTTATATTTTCGTAATACTAATGTTTTAATTGTTTATGTAAGAGATAAATTACTTTATACATTATGAAAGGAATAACATTTCAATAAACGATGAATTTTCCTGTCTGTCTCAAAGAAATATACCGACGATTTCGACGAGACGGCGGAAAAAGTTGCAGCTGATGCATCTCGCCTGCACTTGACTGCTTTCAAGCGAGGAGTCGGAAAAAGATTCTGAAATGCAAATGGGTGCGAAACCGATCGATTGCATAATTTACGGTACAGCTCGCGAGCTGAAAATACTGACGTTATCACGAATTTCTTGTCACGTAAACGTAAATTACTTCTTTTATTTATCGCTGACAATTTCCCATTAGCTAAATGCGAGTATTTCCACTTCATATATTTTTTTTCTACACATTATGTGATAAAAATTAGCAACCTCGCTAAAATTATAGAAATTACAACGTACTCTTTAAATATGAATCAGTCGATAGTCACTCAATGGCATATTTGGCACTGACAGTGAAATTTAATTAAAAAAGAAAAAATACTTGAGCATTATAACTAAAATACTGATATTTGCATGTTAATTTCAATTTTCCAATACTATATTCATTGAATTTATGCACTAAAACAGGTTAGTTACATTACATAATAAAAATCAACTAGGTTAGGGATCTCACATTTCATTCACTGATTATCAGTGAATACCAGTGGCATACTTGGCACTGATATCCACTGATTATCCACTGATTCAGATTTAGAGAGTAACATGAAATAATTTTTGCATTTTTTAAATATAATTTAACTTTGCAATTAAGTGATTATCACAATAGTTTCTATTTTGATGTTCATTTTTGGACATGTGAAATATAAATAGAAATCAATCTGATATGTGTTACTATCCTAAAAACTATCCTCTTCCTTGAAATTATATCTTATGTCGGATTGTGACACGACGTTATCGCTCTAAAAAGCAAGGATAAATCATTCATAATGCAAAGAGCAAGGAGATCTCGCATTGATACTGTCTTTTTCTTCCCTAGTGAGTATGCGCGTAGAAGTTTTCACATTTCCCGTCTTTTCACCTCGATGTTTGAGTTTGAACCGTTCTTAAGACTTTCGCGATGCTCCAGTAAATTCGATGATGACGTTTCTCCGGTTTTCCCTGGTTTCCCACGAATCTTTTTCCTTGTTTTTCACTCATTCCGCAGGCCGCCTTTCAGGGTGTCGGGTATAATTTACGATCTCGTTAAAAACGTAGAAATCATTTATTTCCGTGGGACGACGTAATGTAGAAAAACGATCGGCGAAGCGAACGAAACCAATAGTGAAACGGAATCATTTTGCAGCTTCCATTTTTAACATGAAACAACGTTGCTATTTGTTACGTGATAAAAACATCGTGTTTTCAAATAGCAGTTGAATAAGCATTTGTTAAAAATATTATATTGAAAAATAGTTCAAATAAATATATTTACTCAATATTTAATCTCAATATTTTAATAAAAGTATATAATTAAAAGAACATTACTTGAAATCTTAATTTTATAATCTTAATACGAAAATTTCAATAATTTGGATTTTTTTATTTAAATTTAATTAATTTTTTGAAATCTTTAATTTTTAAAAACGTTTCTAAGTCTCCAAAATTTTGGGATTTTTATTTCATAATAAAAATCATAGATAACTTTTTTAACTTTTTATTACTTATATAAAAGAGGTAAAATTTAATAATTACTTTTTTACATGTTATTTTATTTACAATGTGATTTGCGATAAATACTCAGGAAGCAAAATTTAAAAATCATTAGCGACAACAAAATACGATCCACTTTTGCGTCTCCACGGACACGTACAAATGCACAATGTCCGTCATCCGTGAGCGGCTAAGTAGAGCTTACGTCTAGTTGTAATAAATAGTCTACTCCATCCCCTTTGTCACTCCGTTCGCTCCATATTCGTCAAACGAGGATCAGCATACTGGTTGCAAGAGGGACCCTCTCTCGCGTATGTTTCCTCCGGTGGGTTTGCGGCCCACTTTCCTGGCTACGTTTATTGTGTTGCCCCAAATACATTGTGCACGCAACCGAGGAATGTCTGCTGACGCTTGGTGGCTCACGATTATCATGATACAAGGAAAAAGGTGCAGTTAGAGGACATTCTTCTTTTAAACCGAGTTTGCATGGTTCCTTTCCGCGCCATCGTTCATTTAGGTTTCTAAAGTAATATCTATATTATTAAGAAATTAATTTTAGTTACGTTGTATGTGTATAAAATATTTAGGTATGCAATTTTCTTGCATGTAAAATTTTATTGAAAATGTATAAAAATTTCCAGTTGACATTGATTGAAGATAATATAACGTTTATGTTATAATTTTGTACAATGTAAATGTTATATAAAATATGTGATATATTATATTATATTGTTGAGAAATAATAACATAGATGTTGTTACTTTTAATTGATGTCGATTGGGTTAATACTATTATTATTTTATATATTGCTTAATCTTTTATCATTAAGTTATTTGCAACGTTGTATATCATATATATTTATGTATATTTATATACGTTATTGTATATAATGTAGAATTAATGGTGGAAATGCAAGAATTCATAGAATATTAATCATTGAAAAATAACGAAAAATGACAATAACAAAACGCACACAAAATATACATTATATGTATTTTAAAAGCGACGGGTCATAAATTATCGTGTTAGCTCAATTTCAGGGAAAGAAAATAGTTGCCTGTACAATAAATTACCGGTTAGGTTCACATTTGGACACTGTTATAAATGTTTAAGACGGCCATTAGCACGAGTCAGCGAGTCCAGAAGCGGCTAATGAAGATGGAAAATTAATTAAGTCGGAAAATTAATTTCTTCCTCGTGATAGAGCGAGATATTGCGGTTTCCCGATTCAAATCAAAGCTGCGAATTTTGATTTACTTCGGCTTAATTAAATTTCCACCTGAATTAGCGACTCGCCAAAGTACGCTAATCCACGGACGTAATGAGCCTCACAAGAGATATAAAACTGAAAATTTATAAAACCAAGTCTCTATATATTTAAGATATGTGCTTATTCTATCGAACAATTCAATTTTAATTTATATATCTTTATTAATGGTTCTATAAAGAAATCGGTGATCGATAAATGATAGATAAATAATCAGAAACATATAATACATAAACGACGTTAACTTATACATACACCTAAAGCGATTGAATCGATTTAACTAATGGTTTGTCATTTATAAATTGATTACGTAAATAATTATCTTATTAATTATACACAATTATGCATAAATTCATTATTTATTGCTACGAATTTATCATTTCGTAGGAAAACATTACGCGCGTAAAGTTTCTCATTTAGAGTTACATGAACTATGTTTTAATTGGATATTACTTTACTACTAAATTTTGTCATAAATACATGCAGTTGTGATTAAGTGGTGGCAGAAACGCATTAACGTATCTTTACACTTTTATGCAAAGTACGCTTTACTGTGCGGAACACCGTTACTCGTAGACAGTTCCTTAATTTCATCGCGATGAGCTCAAGATCTATTTGTTCACTGAGAAGCATCGGAGATAAGGCTTGGAGGATTATGAAGGAGATTGCTCGACTGCGGTCCAAGGAAGCGCCCTCGACAAGAGAGCTACCTAATTACGATGAGGCGGAAGGTGGAAGCGCCAAACAGGGCCGGCCCTATACAGTTTTAATGCTTCACGTCATATTTTTGGAGCTATATTAATTAAAGAGATTATTTTTGAAAGCTTTATTTTTCAAAGTCTTAGTTCTATCTTTGTTATGATTTTATTTTATATCCTATTTCACTGCTGAGTAACATGTTGTTTTCTAAAAATATAAACTTTAAGATAATTGTATTTAAACAATAATGCATTTTATTATTATAGAAAAAAATTAACCGTTTGTACATAATAATCTTATCCAACTTATTTATTAATCTCAATTACAATATGTTTACAATATATTGTTACATAATATTTTATACATTTATTTTTTTACATTAATTTCACATAGTTCCGTATTATATATAAAATGTTATCAAATTTCCTATTTTCATTACATTATTATTAAAACGAAAATTAATAATTTTAAATTAATATTTCTAATAGTTCAAATTTTATGTGGAATATAAAAATGTGTAAATTTTCATGCATTAAACGAATTATTAATTCTGTATTTAACTGACATTTTGAAATTGTAAGTTACATATGAAATTGAAAATTTCTAATTGTTTTTTACATTTTTTTTTAAATATGTTTAATGTAAAATTTATTATAAAACTGAAAATGTTCGAATGTTCTAACTTGTGTAATTTGTAATTGCTTAAATTGAAAAAGCTCTAAGATTTACTTTTTTTGTTACTAAAAATCTCCAGGCTGCATCGCGGCGGCCCTGATAGTAAGAGAAGATGAAAAGTAGTAAGAGGATAGTATCTTCCTCTCAGTTAAATGCCTCCGAGAGAGGTACAGCGAGAGGACGTAACATCCTAACGTTTTAACTGCCCGTTCTATCCGGTTTCCCTTTCTGTTGGTAAAGCGTTGGTAGACTAAAAAGGAAGGATATAACCGAAAGATAATGTCTATCGACACCACTGGTAAGGTCGTAACGAACCGCTCCTCAAGAACGGTGCTTGTCTAAATGCTAAACTTTACGACATGCCCGCATGATCGCCCCAGAAACTTTAGCCGCTCTTTTACCGAGATGTGGAAGCGCGTTACCGACGTTAATGTCGGTTACTTTTATAGGAAGAGCAAGATATAACGACGCTTGCAATTTACCGGTTTGGAAAAAATTACGGGCGGAATAAACAAGCCTTCATTTAATAAATGTAGACTTTAAATAGGCAAAAAATTGAGAAAATCATGAAATTTAAAATTATTAGAAAAATTACGAAATATTACAAAGCTAATACATTTTGAAGATTATATTAAACTAATAATATTAATATTAATAATATTAATATTTTTTTAAATTTGAATGTGTGCTAATTGTGGACAGAAAGTGAACTAAAATAAGAATTAAAGTTAATTCTATAATTCGTCATAGAATTTTTATTCTATTATTCTTTCTGTTATAGCTCTCTGCTATTGTTGATGGGGTTTACGCTGAGCATGGTCATACTGCGGGATCGTTCACACATTTGGCCAGCGATCGACTTCTCGTCGGTGGAGGAGCTGATGCGAGGTCCTTGCAGGGCGCCAAAGGGATCATCAACTTTGTTGGGTGTCTGAGAAAGGTTGGATTAGCAGCATGACTTATTTATATCTTGCAGCAGCTTTCTTATCCTCTTACATCATAAATAAACTTAACTGGAATCAAAATTGCATAAAGCGTAATAGAAGCCATTGACCATTTTGATGCTAGATTTCTACATAAGCTATAAAAATATTAGTTTTAATATTTTACAAGAAAATAATATAAAATGCAGTAGAACTATACTCAATAAAACTTTTAAATATCTAACTACAATAGTACAATGCAATAGTTTAAAATTAATTTCATAGATAAAATAGAGACTTTAAATAACATTAAATGATAAAGACAAAATTATTGCATTTTAATGAACCGGAATATAAATAATAATTATAAAATAGAGAAAAATAAATGATCAATGACTGAAAATAAAATATTTTATAGAGCAAATCTCTAAGGAATAAATAAATGTAAAAATTATACTTTTCAGTCAATTTCCAACTTACATTATTTAACAAATTTTAATCTTAAATATAAGAATGAGTGATAGTTGAATTGGCAAATTTCATTAAGCGACGATCCGTAATATTTTTAGAAAGAATTAACTATGACTTTTGTAATAAATTTGTGTCTAAAATTTAACTTGTAAATTTATTTTAGCACAGTCCGTATTAAATAATTTCTAAATCTGAACTAATTTTGTGTTTTCATTTTTTAACATAGAAAAATAACTTAAAATGTTACTGATTTATTGTATGCTCTCTTATTTGTTTTGATATAAGCAAACGGCTATTTTTTCGCGAGATGAGATAATAATAGCGCTGGTGATCGAATCATACCATCGAACGGAATAATCATTAAATTACCTTTTTTGTGCTCTTTTTTACTCGAATATCGGACAATTACTGTGATATCAAAATTATTCTGAACGATTGTCGATGGAAAATCGCGATAGTGTGCCGAACGTTTGACGAGATACCTGCAGTGTCAGTAAAGAGAATGTAATCACAGACTCATCGAGTTCTTTTGAGAGCATACATATTGCTTAAACATTCTACGCTATAATAAATTTGATTAAAAGGTTGGCTGTTATATACATAGTATAAAGGAACGTAACATAATGCACTTAGAAAATAACGAGATTCTTGTTAACTTTGTACGAGTGAAATCAAAATCAGGAAAATATTTCTCAATTGCTTAAGGATGTATTGTACATATTTTTTAAAAAAAGGAAAAAATTACGAAAAAATTACAGATTTTTAATATATATTTGAAGGTAATGTAAAAAGTTTGTTATTTAGAATATGGACCAAAGATCATTTTAATCAGAAGAAAATAGGTTTTTAAAAAAATAATTAAAATAAAATGAGAAAAATTTATTTAAATTGTAAAATTGTATCATTAAATATAAATATTGACTTTCTTGAACTAGTTCGTACGCAACGAACTATTCATTTTTATACGGAAAGTACACATAAAATTTCTAATTCTAGTTATTTGCAGAGATATACATCTGATACATTCTTAAAATTTGATTATATGGTATAATTCTAAAATATTTATTTACAACGATTTAATTGCAAATTTTTTTGTATTTTTGAGGCAGTGTAAATTGATCTTTCCCATGAAAAGTTTTAATCCCATTTTCTTAATTACCTTTTGATAGTCAGTAAATATATCAGTATAGTTTTAAACTCCGAATTGTAAAAAGATTTTTATTATAATCGCTCTCATTAAAGAATCTAAGTTGACTTTCGTTGAAGTTTTCGAAACTTTTCGGTGGGTAACAGTAAAAGTTGAAGTGATTCCTAATTAAGAGTCCTTAAATAAATGACCATAATGCTCGTTAAACTTGTTAAGTACTAGATAAAAATATTTTTAACTAAGAGAGAGAGAAAGACTTTTTAAACAGAAATTTTGAAATTATTTCTATTAGAAAGGTAGAACGACGCACATTAAGTTTCTGTAGGAACCAATAAAAATGTCTCCGCCCAATAGGGTGTCGACGTGGTCATCGCAACGCAATGAAATATTCATGCCAGCAACTTACTTACGGGGAATTTCACCCGTGAAGAGTAAAGTCGAACTAACGCGCCATGGGTGGCGACAAAGAACCGCGAATGAAGCGATAAAACTTGTCACAATATAAAACGCACTACTGAGGCGAAAGGTTAATGGCAACTGTAATTTGCTGACTGTTTGCAGCTTAAGCAACGTGATGCGAATCACTCGGTAAATTATTCCTACGAGTTTTATTTACGAGCGTGCGCGCGCTCGCGCTCGCGATATGTAAATTATTCGGAATTTCTTCACGTAGTTTCGACCTAAGACTCTTAGCTTCCCATTGCAATCATATTGCATTATGACGTTAGAAGCGAAAAATCGTATAAATTTTTCTTTTACGCTATATGTCAAAATGTATTAGTTTTTTACACTTGCAGATCTTCTTGCAGATACTTATTGATTGATAATTTTTATCTATTTTTTTATCACCATATGCTTTCTTAAATTCGATTAACTTGCAGATATGTATAAATTTTTCTTATTTAAAATGAGTTAAAATATTTTTTTTAACCGATGTGTATCAAGTGCGCTTGCATGTCTGTTGATGGATAGTAATCTTTATGACCAAAAGCAAGATATCTCATATAAGATAATTTGACATTTCTTTGCTTATCCTTTCTTCTGGGGTTTTCTTCTGAGAACAGCTATTCCTAAGAAAACAAGTATGCAGTTACGTTCTACAAAAATTCCAGCTGTTTATATTGCCAGCTCAAATAAGGAGATATTTCCGGAAGATCGAGACTTGACGACTGTTTCCGTTTTACATACTAAAATTTAAAATAAAACATCTAATTCCGAGTGAAATTTTAGAATGCTGGTCATAGCTTAATAATTAATAAGAATTTAAATGAGGAATGTAGGAACGTGAGAACGTGAAGAATATACATTCCAGGCCAATAGTTCAGAAATACTTTCTAAAAATTGGCACTTTTAAGATTATATATTTAAATATTCAAAACAATGTATTTTTTTAATAATAACTTTATGAATCCCATAACGGCTATTTGAAGAATTATTAAAAACACATTGTCATGAATATTTTAAAAGAGATGTTTCAAAACTTTTGGCCTGGAGTGTATATATGAATTTATAAATTCAAATTTAAATTGGAAATATAAATTCAATTAGTTTAAATTCAGGACAATTAAAAAAAAATAATAATCAAAGTTTCAACTTTTTTTCTATTTTACCATATAACGTACACTAATTGTCATGATCGTATGTTCGCAGGTGGAGTTTGCTGCAGAAAGAATCAGAATGGAACTGATCGAAGCGGCTAAAAGCGGAGCGGCGGGTGTTGCGGCTTGGGGAAAAATGGATTTTTTCTGTCGTGAACCCAGAACAGCAGATCCAATTACATTTACCACTAGGGACTCGCATCTCGTGAGTATATGTGCTAGTAATTTTATAATAATATATATGATGCCCAAAAAATATTTATATATGCATATTCTTGTTGCAACGTTAATTATTTATAAAAAGAAGAAGCAAGAAGTTATTTCTTCTAAAAGAATTTTGTCTTCTTTTTTTCTTCTAAATAGTCAGTAAACCTATAAACATATGAGAAATGATTTTCTATTCTTAAAATGTTTTAAGAAATATTTTAGAGACATTGTTATGAGTTTCTGATATAATTCGAAAATTTTCTTTAAATAGAGCTTTTAATGCTTCTCTTTTTAAGACGAATATCTATTATACATATTTTATATATGATGTTAAAATTAAGAGATTACAGTATTCTGAATAAAGAATCAAATATGTAACAGAGTTTCTATTACATATTTGTGAATCAAAGATATCGCACCGTTCTGGAATAATTGTTTTTACTCAAGAATGGACTCCTCCGCGGCACTTTAATGCACGTGTCTCTTAAATAATGCAAAGAAGAAATACGATCTGATTCCATTATCGAGTAGAATCGTGACGATGGAAATATCCGATTAAATCGGGAATGCACTCGAGGAAGTTTTTTGCGCGAGTCAAGCAAGCTGCAAATAGTAATGGCGTAGCTCGCTTTCGAGTTTTCGCGAATATCTTTGGCGACAGCAGTGAGGTCAAGAAAACTTCGTGAATGTCCTCGTTCTAAATTACTAGAGATTCTCTTGACTTTTTTATGGGAGGGGGGAAAATGCATTTGACTCTTGCACGTGGCGTATGTAGTCGATTATCGATGCTCGGTTTGCCACGTAAGTTTCCAGAAAGAAAAAAACACAGCAGAAGAAATATTAACCGGAAGCAGATACATGATACAATACATACAATTACCCAAAAAAGTACATTATTGAGGAATATAAACATAAGAAACAATGTAAAAATATATGCCATGTAGGTTTTGCCAAATAAAATCTACATAGCATATTTTTACATTTATACCAAAACTTCGACATATTTCGTTCTTTTCTACTTCTACGTTATTGCCATACAGCGATATTAACGCATTATAATAACGCAATAACTTTCGAGCACATCCCTCGTCAATATTTATAGATAGACACAGGCTATAAAACTTGTAATTCTTCCTAAATATATTTAAGATGTACTTTAAAAAATATGAATGTGAATTTAGTACCATTCGGTGTTTACATAATTCTCAGCAATCGTCTAAACAACTTAACATTAATATATGTTGTTAAATCAACATCCTATTGGTTAATATATCAATGGTTAGTATACAGGATACTCCTCATAGTACAACTGGAAAGAATATGATTCTACATGAAAAAGTAAGTTGAAAACATAGAATAAAATTTTTTTTATATGAGGCTTTACTTTTGGATATTTCAATAATATTTTCAATAATTTATAAAGTAATAAAACTCATGTGTGTGAATATCCTTTTACCGCGTATTCTCGATTATCCAATAATAAACACAAACATGAACAGAAAGTACGGAATAGTGTAACGAGATTTGTTAAAATATAGAAAAATTTTATTCACATTATCGATTTATTTTTATATAGAATTATTCCTTTTCCAGTTAAACTGAAATTTCCAGAATACTCTGTATTTAACATTTACAGACCGATAGTTATTTGTTTTTTTAAAATTGTCTTAAGTAATGTTTATTTAATGGTTATTTAAGACACTAATACGACTTTGTGATTGGTTTATAACATCTTAAGATTGTACTCAAGACGATTTTGAGGACAAAAAGAATTGACTATATATGAATACCGACCATAATATTAAATCTATACTCATATTTTTAATACAGTATGACTTGAAGATAAATTCTTTGAATGTTACAAGAACATGCTGATTTTTCTTGTTATAAAAGTTTCTTTTTCGTTTGTCATATTTGAAGACAGTCGGACGTGTCCTCAATGTAGAGCACTAACGCGAATGCTTTGCGCACAGCGCGTCCTCTTATGCGCTTTTACAGGCCACGAGACACCGTCGTTACCATTGCAAATCCTTGTTACACCGGCCATCACGGTGTCAAAGGGCGCGAGGACGAGGGTGAATGTACGTGCCCTCTAAAAGCGCATTTCGCCCTCGTGCAGGAACTTGTTTATGAGCATGACCGTTCTTGCATTGCTCGCTCTCCATCGTCGCGATTTATGCAGTCTGGTGCATTAGTGCATCCACTCTAGGATACGCCCCTTTCTCTTTGTAAATCTAGATGGTACGGATCATCTCACAATCTCGATGTCCATTGTTTCGCGTATTAACTATTATAACGCAATACCGAATATTGTTCGCAATATTAACAATTCATATAACTGTAGTTGGTCTAGGAAAAATCTTTACCGGATTCTTTTTTTGAATAAAACAACATCCTTGTTTTGTTTTAAATAGAATTCTTTAAAAGTCATTTATTTTCGTTAGTTAATCACTCGGAAACTCTACAGGTGACTCATCGCTTTTCCTTAGGAAAAATAGATTCCAAATAGGTCACTGAATCTGTAATTAAATTGAGTAATTTTTAAACACTTAGTATAAGCTTCAAGCTGCTATTCTATCGTGCAGCTTTTTATCATGCATAATATGTACACGATAATGAAGCCAGGGCACGTGATTCTCTGCAACTGCTTTGGGTCATCGAGATTTTTAATTTAACAAGAATATTACCCTCACCGGCTACTTAAATATATTATATACGTATTATATACGATATTCACGAGCTCTTTTAATATATACCTTGCCGTTACTTAAAGTTAATAAATCACTGCTTCCTAGCATAAGAGCCTAATTAAATCGTTAATATTCAATAATAACGTAATGTAATTGGACAACTTAAAGCAGTCAATGATATCGGATAATATTTAATTAGGTTAAAAAATGTATTAACGTGAAACTAATTTAGTAATTAACAATAAATGAGGAAAGTTATTCAAATAATAGAACTGTTATATTAAAATATATTCAACTAGTACGTACGAATAAAAATATTACAGAGAGAGTCGAGTTTACTATAAGTATTACAAATTTATGACTATTATAGTGATTAAACATTATACTTTTAACGCAAAGATCTCCATCAATACAATGATCAATATTATTTTCGAGCAGTAGATAATACGCATTAAATTTACGACGTGCAGATGGTTATTCAATACGAACAACATTTGCGTTCGTGGTTCAATTATAATTAATATCGATATCGGCGTACAAGCACAATTATCCTCTGTTCGTCCTGCGCTTATAATCGTAACGTTGCATTTGCAATGGACTCTCATCCGTTATAGCAACAGTAAGAGAACGTATAAACGTGAATACTGGTATTGTTGGCACATTCACAATTAGATCAGAGGCTCCGATGATGCCTACCGCGTTCAGATATCGATGTTACATCTCGAGTTACTCTTGAATCAAGGACCAGGCGAGGATGGATTTTCGTTATATATATACTGGTAATATTCACGATGGATATTGTATTTGCAATGCTCTACACTGAGATTCAAATGCTGCATTATTCTGAAAGCGTATCAACAATAAGATCGAATATTTTCGAGAATAAATTATTTGCAAATTTTTACTTGTTTTTTTTGTTTTGATTAAATTAAGTCATTGAAATTTTTGTTAACATTTAAAATGTTAACATTTGAACACTATCGTATATATGTACAAATATATTTAAAAAGTTCTAAATAGAAGAGCAAGGATTAGAAAATGAATTTAATATCTATTACTTTATTTCTTGAAGTCAATTATCTAAAATATTTATTTTGTTATACATGTTTTAGATTTAAGAATCAATAGATTACTTGACTAATATCTCATTTCATAAATTCACGATTCTATGTGTCCTTAATTCAATATACAAATCTTTGACCTGCATCTTTTACCAATTATGTTCTTTTAATTTTAGAATTCATAGAGCCTTGCTGAATTAAATTTTACTTACTATATATTTGTGTCGAAACTGTTCGCGTCGTCTGAAAATTAGTGTTGAAACGTCACAGTGACCACATAGTAGACTATTTTAAGGTAGTAATTAGTAGATGAGACATTTGAGAGAAATTCTGGATCGAAGCCGGCTCGTTTACTGGATGGTGCAGTAGTTCAAGCAAACGTCAATGTGGACGTTACAGTGGTTGCGTTTTAATTATCGAAAACTCCTACAGCTTTGCTTGAGTGTCCTCTAAAATTATTCCCTGATATTCGTTGAATATATACTTATATTGAGGTCTCGTGTGTGTTGTATGAATCTTTTGTCTGTACCTCTAACTTTATTTTCTCAAAAAATGTTTTACAAACTATTATATTAATTGGACACTTTTTGTAATAATTGTTTTAATTCAAGTATTTATTTATTTAAAATCGCATTCTTATCCAATAATTCATACTTTCATTAATTTCATTCTTCATACTATATTTCAATTTTGTAGCATCTTTAGATTTGTTTTGAATTTGTTAAACAGAAGAATATGCATGAATAAAAACAATAAATATTTATTTTATTTAATATTTATTAAATCTTAAAGAATAAATTAATATACAAATTGCTCAAGATTTTCCAAGATTTTGTAACAAAATAAATAAGTAAATAAAATTAATTAATTAATTAATTAAATAAAATCTATAAAGAGTAAAGTCTTTAATAATATTTAAAAGCAATCTATATTTTTTTATTCTGCTTTGTTTTTATAATTATTATATTATATTGTTACAATATAATTTTACACACACACGCGCGCGCGCGTACACACATGTATAAGAAATCGATATAATGGCGTATTATCGATATACTATCCGAATGTTAGCTTCGTAACTATCGGTGAGAAATAAAGAAAAACTAATAATGCTCACCAATATCGAAACAGTTGAAATTATAGATTTGAAATTATTTGCATATTAATTTTACAGTAAAAGGGTTCGTCGTCATTTATAGCTCGGTTATTTTAACTGAAATTCGTTATCCTCGAAATTACTCTCATTG